CTCCAAAGAAGTTTTTCTTTAACAAAGCAGATGCGGTCCAAATGGCTTCTGAGAAGCGTTCGTATTTGAATAGCTAGAAGCTTGAGTTGGAAGACTTATTGTTCCCGAAGCAATCAGTCAGACAGCAATAAAATTTGTTATAGATATTTCTCTCTCTGTGTGTTCTTGAAATCTTGGAATGGGTGATAGTTTATTTTGTTTTACATATATAAGGAAAGTGCATGTAAAGCAAAATGATTCCAGGCACCCATTGCATGTTAATCATTGTACGTCCCCTCAGCTCTTCGGTTGGATATTAAGAAAAGAAATTCTTATACTGCTTTTGCTAAAAACCAATTTGAATCTTTTTTTCATTGTAGGGTAACATGAGCCAAACAGTTTTCGTTAGAAATATACAATTATGCTAGCTTGACACATCAGATAGAAAATATTTTATCGTCATCATCGGCTATGATAAAAGGTTTTTACGCTTAAGATTTTGGATTATGATAAAGCACACAGGACCTATTTGTCTAAGGAAAAGCAAGTCTTCGTGGTAAATTTTTTTGAGGGAAACAGACTGTTAATTCACAATTGCACTACTGAAAAACTCCTAAACCTCCCATGCAGCCGCAGAATTTACCTGTGCTCAGCTATCTTACCACTTGGAGAGTACTTGGCTTTCTGAACTTATGCAATATCTATCTATCTAAATTTGGACATTTGCATAAAAGAACGAGCAAAATTAAATGCCACATTGTAAATGCATTGTACTGAAAGCAAACTTTCTTTGAAGAAGGAAAATTTATTATAAGGAATAAGATGGATGCATTTAATTAAACGGCGGACAATAACAGCGCTGGTCATATGTTTTTGTATAGGAAATCATTTTTTTCGTGTTATCATATAACGGAAATTATCCACAGATTATATTTTACAGTTTTTAAGAAGTCGCGGGTTATCTGTTTTAAGAGAATACCTTCGTGGGTAATTTTCTAAAAAAAATTGTCTTGAATTCATGTTGTGCATGGGGAAAATCATAAAGACACCAAGCAGCTAAACTGTTCGGTTGCCAACAACAAACTACCAACATCCAACAATCTTATTCACTCAACTATAGTGAACTTAAATTACTGTTTGTATATTATTAGTAGTATTAAAATAGCGAAAATATTTATTCTAATAAAAATTTTTGTTTAAATATCCTCCCTAGTAAGGGTATTTTCGTCAATAATTAATGCTATGTTCAAACAAGACATTTATTTAGAGCATAATGCTTCAAAAATGTATGCTGGGATCTCTAGAAAAAAAAAATCGCCGGAAAATATATCTCCAAAAAAATATTTAAATATTCATATTCTTATGATTAATTATTAAATAATTAATAACTTTTATAATTATTAAATGCAATGCTTATTTATACTTTACCAAAATGTACAGCAACACTCTTTCTTTACAAAAATACCATACTGAATAAATTATATTGTAAGCTAATAAGTAACAACATTGCTTTGTTTAATTAAGATACAATAACAAGCCGAACAAAATATTTAAATTTGGAAGTCAAACAACAAAAAATCAGCGTTATATTTTCAAATTTTCACAATCTTATTTTCATTATATCTTCTCTCGTTCATTTGCGCTTTTGCAGCTGAGGATGATGGTTCGGTAAAACCATCGAAACTAGTCCTGTGAAAATTTGAAAAAATATAACGCTGATTTTTGTTGTTTGACTTCCAAATTAATTGCTTTGTTTGTTATTAATATGTCTCATCTTTCCTATTTCAGATAAATTTGCTAGTGTTTCTTGGGCAGGAAAGCAAAAATTTTTAAATTGAAGTCAATAAATTTATGATACACTGAAAACAGTTTCAGATTATAATTGCCTTTCTGAATATCTTGAATGTATATAAAATAGTAAAATGCAAATTTAATATTAATATTATCACCCTTAAATAACACCCCAAAAAATCCATTTATTACTCTTAAAAAACCTACGTAATAATTAGGGCAAAAAGAAATTATTTAAAATAATTATTATTTGCATGCAGTTGAAGAATATAGGAAAATGTTGAAAGTTTTAAAGATTTTTAATTAATGACAAAAATACAGACAGAAAATCGGAAATAATACGAAATGTTTCAGCAATATCTCAGAAGGAATGAAAGAGATATTTGTCAGAATAGAATTTAGTGATAGCAGTTTAATCAGTCTGCATTGAAATTCAGGTGATAATGAGTGACATACAGATTTAGGTTTCTTAGGTTAAAAATATGTAATAATAAAAATTTAAAACCAATTTATTTGAAAATAAGATCGTCTTAGAGAAGTAAACTTTTAAGTTTCACAACTGTACCCTGCAGCATTGAGACGGTCATCACCGAGAATCTAGTCTTTTGCAATTCTGTTGACAGCTGACATCTACGGTACAATATCTAGTAATCAATCTCACTTAGCGGAATCATTGAAGTAAAATTCTGGGAGGGATGGGAAATAACAAAATAACTGCCTGACAATTTTCAGAGGTTTAGGGTCATTTTCTCGACATTTTATGGGAAGTTCGGTCCAAAACTAGCGACACTTTTAAAGGGATTCACAGAAAATCACTCGACAGGCTAAGGGTTAAACATATATCCTGAGCACTTACATTTTAATCATTCCACAAAGCTCTTCCCTAACATCAGAAATTAGGACTTTATGTTCTTTTTTTCGCTTTTCTGCTGAATTTTTGTCTTTGGGATTCCTGTTTGTAATAATCATGAATAAATTGTGAAGAATATTGAAACTTTCAATTTAAAATAAAATTTATTTTGAAGTCATTAATTTAGTATAAGTAGATAAAGCAAAGTACATAACTGCTAGTAAGAGAGGTATTGTTAAACAATTATTAAGAAAAAAGTCTCTTTGGAGTAGAAAATCAGTGTGGACTCTTATTGCTATTTAAGGTAACTTGGCTTATATATGTGATCTTCTATTGAACTCAGAAACATTAGTTTCCATGAAAATTGAAGAACAGAAGTAGGAAAATAATAATACACAGCTTTAATGCAGTTGTATAGAAATCTTGTTACATTCATATGCAGAGTTTATGCATTGCAATGAAGCTGAACACAGATCTAGTACTTTGCTCTAGTGGGCACAAAAAGTAACTTTTTATTAACTTTTTGCTTATCTTTATCTTCAAAGAATTTAGAGTTTTAGTGTGTTAAAAAAATTATTTAAAACAGACTCATTGTGAGTTAATATGTTGGAAAACAGTTGAGTGTAGTTACGCTTCAAGCAAATTTAAATTTAACTGCACATCAAGCTGCTTTATGTGTTTTAGAGGAAAAGAATTTTCTTTTAATGCATGCAGTGTCATTGTAGGGGGATTGTCGTCCATGGAATGTGTCTAATGAGGGAAAAAATTAAATTGAGCATAGCAGGATCAGTGAAGATTTGCTTATGGTCTTACAGCATGAGTCAGTTTTGTTTATAATAGATATGTTTCATAATACAGTCAAAAGTCTTTAATTCAGACGTCCATAATCTGGAATGATCTATAATCTGGACCTCAAAGCTACAAACTTTGTGCACATGCATCAACGCATAATGCGTTAACGCATGCACATAATACCTTTACGCATGTGCATATGCATCTACGCATGTGCGTTTAATGTATAACGGAATGGTATAAGTTAAGCTAAAATTATCTAATTATCTATTTCAGTTAATGTTGCAGATTGCGTTGTTCCTTTATCTTCTAATTGGATCCGGCTTATTATTTTTTGAAGACTGTTAGAGCAATTTTATAAAAGTAAGCTTGAACTTTCGATTATTTCAAAAAGAATTTCCAATTCTGGAGCTACCAAAGGATCTACAAAGCGAAAGCATGTTTCGATGCCCATCAAACAAAAAAGTGGAATTGCTGCAAAAAATGGATAAAAGCATATCCTTTGTTTTTCTAACCATTCCGAAAGATGTTTATAAATTTCACGCTGCTCTACGGGGGGAGGGGGGTATGACGTGGCGCACAATGAACTGGAAGTTGATCTGTCAGCACTATCCTTATCTTCAGGGCAGATGTTTTTACTTTATTCGACATATAATTCCTTACTAAATGTAGTATTTCATCTTGATGTACTCCGGCTTTAATATGGTTTAAATCAAATTCCTCGTCATTATAAATATCACGAATACACATCAAATAGTTTTCTGGTTGCAATTTTCTAATTTCGACTATGCGTAATGTATGCTTTACACCTGCACGCATTGAAAGAAATGTTTAATAAAATAAACAAATAAATATTAAGCTTTTTTTTTTTTTTTTGAAAATTTTGATACCCTTTAGATCATAATTGCTCTTTATTTCATAAATTACGGTTTCATATTTTTAATTTTATAATTTCTGCATGCCATCTTACCAGATTTAAACTGATGATCTATAATCCGGAAAAACTAATAATCCGGAATCCCCGAAGTCCCGATGAGTCCGGATTAAAGACTTTTGACTGTATCTCTTTTCTATGTGTATGACTTCATTTAAGAAAATTGTTCTAATTTTTTAATGTATTTGCATAATTTATGTAAATTACTAGTTTAACCTCATAAACAATGTAAATAATCTTTTAAGGAAAAAAAAAATGTAATTTGATTGTAGAAGCAATGTGTATAAAGGCATTCTGTTAAAGGAAGTGATTTTGTTAGAATGCACCACTTGCCATTTTGTATTCTCTAATACATAGTTTATGTAGAGTAAAAATGCATCCAAATCAGACTTATGCTTTTATATGATGTAAATTTGAATTTTGAATGTCATTATGATTTGTGTCATTAAAATTTGAGCACAGTAAATTGACATAATGAGATTACTATGAATCTCCAATGAATTTAGTATTAGTGAATTCATAATGCAGATTTCCCTTTTACTACTTTTTCTGAACAAACAGCTATTTTTTGTTTGTCATTTAATCATAATTTATCTAAGTAATTATATATAGTTGCATGTTTTTCTGATTACTTATCAAATGAATATTTTTTAGTTTGGATGTATTTTGGAATGATTGGTGGATTCCTCTTCATTCTTATTCAGCTCGTTTTAATTATTGATTTTGCACATGGCTGGACTGAACGATGGCTTGAGAATTATGAAGAAACTCAATCAAAGGGATGGTACTGTGGTGAGTGATTATTTATTTTTTCCTTAGTTTGAAACTTTTCCATTAAAAGTGTCCTGAACTCTGTGTATAATTTCCATGTTTTTCTTCAATTGCAGCTTTAGTGTTCTTTACACTGTTGCATTATGCACTATCCATCACTGCGACTGTCTTGCTTTTTGTGTATTATACTCAGGTAAGAAGTTTTGCAAAAAGGTTTTTTTTGAATATTAGATCATTTTATTTTTTAATTGTATATTATACATATGTTGCTGTCTGGAAGATTGCCATATTTTATTTTATATCTGTTTTTACATGTTAGATAGATTCCTAAAGCATACATGTAAAAAATACATTGTATTTATGAAAGAAAAAAATTTTTTTCCAGATTTATTAAAAAAAAAAACTTGATTTAAGCTTATTGTATTTAAATTCAACAAAATACATATATAAAGATGGATAATGAAATTTTATATAAGTAAAATTGCATATAAAATAAAAATTTTTCACGAACAAAAAGATCTGTTATATGCATAAAAAGGTTTTATTCATTTTCACTTTCTAACAGTAAATAGTATATGTATTTATGTACGACGATAATATCACTGTTACTATCACAAATGTTTCAGATATTCTCATCACTCTCTGTTACCTTCTTAACACTTTCCAGCACGCTACCTTTTAAAGTCAGAGTTTTTATTTTTTTTAAAAAAAAGGTAGGCAGTCTAATTAGAGTACACAAGTAAAATTTTGTGAAGATAGCACTTATCGTTTATTTCTGCGGGTGTGCCCGAAGAGGGCACACTGATTGAATAGAGCTTCGAAAAGAGTGCTGAAACGAGTATTGTTGTCAATGAACAGACCAATGAGATGCGGAAAAACAAAGAATACAGACTCTCAGTTGTCCTAGATTATCGGTGAGCTCGGTCTGGGCACACCTAGGGTTTACCATTTGATTTTAGGCAAGATTTCAAGTACAAATTTAAAACTAATATAGAATAAGGAGATTAGCATACAGCCAAAAAAATAACATAGAAATTTCTTTTCAAACAATTTCTTTTATACCCTAAAAAAAATCTGGAAGGTTTCTTTGAAAAATGAGGGTCTTAAAAAACTAAACATGGCTGAAATATATGGACTGGTTTGTGTTGAGCTACCATCTGCTATAAATAAAGAAAGTTCAGAATAACCTATAGTAACCTATTAATCCTTTCTTATTCAATTTTTCTGTGTGTACAGAAGGAAATTTAGGCGTGTCCAGACCGGATACACTGTTCCGCAAAGGGTTAACTCTTTCGCATCGAGAGAGGACAAAATCTCAATTCCCCAAACATCGAAAACGCCCGTATCCTGAAATGTCCAAATAATTGAAGTAGCATATATTATGGAAGTTAAAAAAAATCAGGGTGTGAATTTTGAGGTCATTTGGGAATTATAATCAAGAAAACACCTCTTACTTGTATTCTTTTGAAGGATTTTGAAAGTTTGAGGCCAAAATTAGCATGTATCTCCTCTGATGCTGATGTTTCACTTGTTTTATGAACAAATTCAGTTATCAGTCATCATGTTTGGGTGTTGGTTAAGCTGTTATGTAATTCTTTTTAAGAGGTTGTGAATAACTTAATTTCCCGCTGAAACTTCCCTTCATGTTCCTCATTAGAATCATTAACAAAATGTTACCCAATTTTTTAGTTGGTTACATACCTTATTTTGTTCAATTTGCATATGACTATCAAGCTACAATATTGTTAATAGTGTGTGATACCTGTTAAAGTGGTTATTTCTTTTAAAAAGAAAAGGAAAATTCTGTATACATTTACACAATTAGAAAAGTTTTATGCAAAGGCTCATGTCCCTTATTGTTCCATCAACAGATTTTCAGCTTTAAAGATAAGATTAGAAAGGCTAGGAAAAAGGTGAAATTGTGTCTGTCTTGGCCAGTGTCCTGTTTCCAGAATAAGGAATAAAAATAAGAGCTGTAGTGAAAATGAATTTCATAATTTTTCCCCCTCTTCAGCCCCCTTAAGATCTTAACTAAAAGGATTCAGATTTTAATGATCGCCCAGAAGGGCTTTTTTAGAGTTTAATGTTTTTGTCAGTAGAGATTATCGATAGAGAGGACCTAGGGGGAATAGCGAAACATTTTATAAGAAATAAGATGATATGCATTTAGATCAACATTGGAACATTATATATGCTCTGTATATTTAAAAAGTGAAAAAATATGTAATATAATTGCATAAAATATTTAATGTATTTTAATTAGATATATCATGAATTAAATGTATTTTTATTTAAACCAATCAGAATAAAAAGTTAAAAAAAATATTAAGAACTGCCGCTATTGCTTTTAAATAATGTAATTGTTAATTAATTACAGACATATTAAATAAGAATGAAAAATATCTTACGATTTTCCAACTTGAATGAAAAGTGAAACAATGCAAAATCATGTTTTTAAGCAAATAGATTTGCTGTGATAAAAGGTATGGTCTTAAATACTCAAATGAAAAGACACAAAATGGAAGAATGCAAAGCTATTAGGAAGATGTCTTAGCAGTTTCCTTGACAGAGTTGACAATCTGCTAAGTCTTTCTTTTCATGTGAATACATTTATAATTAATGATGATTGATCAATTCCTGAACTTCTGGTTTTTAAATCATTGTTTCACTTTTCATTCAAGTTGGAAAATCGTAAGATATTTTTCATTCTTATTTAATATGTCTGTAATTAATTAACAATTACATTATTTAAAAGCAATAGCGGCAGTTCTTAATATTTTTTTTAACTTTTTATTCTGATTGGTTTAAATAAAAATACATTTAATTCATGATATATCTAATTAAAATACATTAAATATTTTATGCAATTATATTACATATTTTTTCACTTTTTAAATATACAGAACATATATAATGTTCCAATGTTGATCTAAATGCATATCATCTTATTTCTTATAAAATGTTTCGCTATTCCCCCTAGGTCCTCTCTATCGATAATCTCTACTGACAAAAACATTAAACTCTAAAAAAGCCCTTCTGGGCGATCATTAAAATCTGAATCCTTTTAGTTAAGATCTTAAGGGGGCTGAAGAGGGGGAAAAATTATGAAATTCATTTTCACTACAGCTCTTATTCTTATGTACTTTGGAAATAAAATAATATGGGGAAGTCAGATGTAAAAGTTATTTATGAGAACCAGTATTATTTAGTGGAAGATTCAGATTCAAAGTAGGGGGGACGGGGATGGAAGAAAATCAGTGTGTTACTCATTTCAGTTCAGCATGATAATTTGCTGTGAATCTTTATAATGTGAATGAATGATATTTGTAAAGCTGAAGCATGTTATAATTAGTATGGTTCAAGGCCATATAAACAAATAGCTTATAAGTTAATTTTTACAATTTTGACAGGATGTCAGCTAGATTTTCTGGTTTAAAGCCACATTGTAGATTAACAAATCTCTGCAAACAGCGAAAAACCTGGAAATTGTAGAAATATCTCTTTAGATTATAAAAGAAAATGTATGATAAAACCATAATTTTTAAATGTGGTATCTGTTTAAGATGCCTTGAACCTTTTTTCCCCCCTTCTTTTTTTATTTTTAGCAATCACATTTAAAGAACTGCAGATTTGCATATTTTTCATCATTTTATGCCCCTTACATATATGAATTGGATTCAGTCTAATTAAGTAATTGGCCATAAATTTTGAATTTAGTATACATATATGCATATTATGATTATTAAATGTGATGCAGATTTACAGCTTAAGGACTGAATATTAAACCACAAAAAAGTTATGAATATAATGTATATATATTTCTTAATATTAATTTTAAAATTCTATGTCATATTAATTTAATATTTCTGCCTAATTTTAGGGTAACTCTTGTGGTGTGCAGAAATTTTTCATCAGCTTCAATTTGATAAGTTGTATCATTTTATCCATCGTATCAATTTTGCCTAAAGTTCAAGATGGTAATTTAATACTTAATATTTTAACTTGATACATAATATGAAGTAAATAATTATTGATTTAATTGCAAAGTACAGTGTACATTTTCCTGGCTAATGCCGGTGAAAGCAGACACGGATAAATAAAGAACATAAAGAAGGTAAACTGTTAGTTTTCATACATACTGTATGAACAGCATATCAGTATTTTTTTTTTAAGACATTTAAATATATGTTGAATTTTACTGTGTACTTTTCAAAGTGTTATTTTATTGCTGTATTCGAATTCTCTTTGGTTAACGAAGTTCAGTAGTTTCAACAGAAGTAATTGCTGTCTTGGGATAAATGTAATTGTCAGTATCTTCTTCGCTTGCATTTTCATTATAACTCTCTGTCTCTTGTATACTTGTGACATTTGAAACAATATCCAAGTCACACAAGCGTTGAATGCCAGGCTCAATCATATTGCCACTGAACCATTCCTTGATGTTTCTGCAATTGAAAAAAAACCTGAAAAAAAAATCTTATTGATCAACCGAAGTGATGCCCTTCAACTATGCACACATAGAATGAATTGTATAAGGAAATCATTGAAACTAAACCTAAAGTTGCACTTCAGTGGTTTTTAGAGCATGCTTGAACTTGTGTGTGTTAATTTTTTACACACTCTCATGCATAGCATTTAGCGTGCATGCATAGATAACTGCCAAACGTGGATAATTGTCACCTGGACAATCAAAGTACACTGTATTACATTTACAAAGCTCAAGCTCTTATTTTCTGTTCCTCATGCATGGGTTTTCTTTTTATTTTTTAACCTTAATTTAAACCATTAAAAATATTCATTTTAATATCAAAGGGTTAATTTTTCTGAATATAAGATCTTTTTTGTGGCTAAGGTTGTGGTAACTTGGTGACTTTTCACATATGGGAAATATTTGTCATGTACAAAAGTGTATTTTAATTTTTTTGCACAAAAATGTATAAGTGTTTCTACACTCATGTCCATAAATTAAGGATAATTCGGAGTCACACGGAAATCGAACTCTAAAATAAATATATCACCTGTAAAATCACTACACACATCTTCAAGAATCATATGCAAATATCAGGAAGTAACCAAATGACACCGATGGTACGTCACAATGACGAGAGTGTAAGAGTGATATATAAGGAATACAGGCAAAGAAGTAAAATTTTTCGCAGGCGCTTTATAAACATTTCAGTGCAATAACCGAATAGTTATGACACAAAGGACGCATTTGGATAATTTTTTACGTGGTAGAATTGTCGGCCATCTGGAATATTCGCGTACCCAACTGGAAGTATCAGACGAGCTTGGAATTGCACAGAGTGTCATCACCAGGCTTTTGCAACGATTCCAAGATGATGGTAATGTGAGTAGACGTTACAGCACAGGTCGCCCCAGAGTTACAACGCCGAATGAGGACCGGTATTTGGCAGTTACTGCCAAAAGAAACAGGCAAAGCACAGCCTCAAACCTGTCTCGTCAGCTCTCTTCAGCCACTGGTATGACAATTTCAAGGCAGACCATGTACAAACGCTTAGGGCAGATTGGTCTATATGCTCGCAGACCTGTCAGATGCATTCCACTTACTGCAACTCACTGTCGCCTGCGGTAGAGAGCATGCATTGTGGACACTGCAATAGTCGGCTTTTGTGTGATGTTTTCCGACGAGTCCAGGTTTAGCTTGCAGTCTGATTCTCGCCGGATTTTCATAATGAGATCTCCAGGTACCCGTTACCACCAAGAAAACATCATTGAACTACACCGTTACGGTGGTGCAGGAGTGCTCGTTTGGGGTGGAATTATTCTGGGTTCCAGAACTGATCTGCATGTTCAGATTGGAACCATGACAAGCCATATCTATCGGGACGTCATTCTGGAACAACATGTACGTTTGTTTCGGGGCGCCATGGTGGCACAATTTTGTGTTTATGGATGACAACGCCCAACCTCACCATGCAAACATCATAAGCGAATGCCATCAATCGGAGGATATCACCCGTATGGACTGGCCAGCATTCTCACCGGACTTGAATCCAGTAGAGCACGTATGGGACCGACCAGTTGCAGCACGTCAACCTCCTCCTACGTGTCTGCCGGAACTTCGGAGAGCATTGCTTTTTGAGTGGTGTAATATCCCCGAAGATCAGATCGATAATTTGATACTCAACATGCCTAGCCATTGTACGGACTGTATTGCATCGTCTGGGAGACATACAATGTATTAACAATCATACCAACCATGTAATATTGGTTTTTGTAAATAGGTTTTTTTTTTTTTTTTGTAATTTGCTCCAGGGAGGAAAAATCGCTAATGTTTTTAATAATATCAAACATATAGCATCTTTTTTTGCTCTTTACCTTTTGTTTAATAAATAAGCTTTACAAATAAGTCAAATTTGTTTTGCTTCTAACTCTTCCTTTGTCTGATTTTGCATTATCCTTAATTTATGGACATGAGTGTAGAATGCCTCTGAGCTTAATGTCTGCATTGTTATAGTAAAATGCTGCTAATATCATTGAATTAAGTACATTGGGATTACATTGGATTTTAATTTCTAACGTGTAATTCATTCCTTTTAAACTTTTGCAATTATGGAATTTGGAAAAACTATACTGTTGTTAAAAATTGTTTCTGAAGTGAAATTTATATCTTTGGAGTACTAAAATAATGCTAGTGTAATACCATTTAATAAAGTCTGAAACAAAATTTATAAATTTCATATCATTTGAAGTTTAATTGGATCTGAATAGATCTGTCTTTGAAATTTCCTTATGTTAATTGTTCAGTGTAATATAATTCACTGTTTATTGAGCTTAAATTTTTTGCATGGCTTAAACATAGTACCCCAGAACCAGATTAACTCAAGTTTTCAAAGTTATTGCACGTTAAAGTGCAAGAAATAATTTATTTAAAATAACCTTGCAACATAAAACAAACTAAGCATAGCATAATTTGAAAATAGAAGCATAAGTACATAAGATAAAGAATTAGAAGCCCTCTTAGATAGAAATATGTGTGACACATGTAACTTTTCCAAAAATGCACTTTCCTTGAACTGGTGTGGGGGGAGATTCTGATATGCAAAATCAAGCTTCAAAACTGAAAATGTTGCTTGTTGCAAGTAGCTGAGTTAGTCAGAAGCTAGGTAGAAGATTAGTGATCTTCTTCCTCTAACTGGAGTCATAAAGGACTTTTGTTTGGTATCTTATTTGAGCTATTGTTTAAAGACTGTAATCTAGCTAGTATGAGGAAATTTCCTGAAAAGGTTCTTTTTGACTTACTGTTTGTTCTAAGAATTTGTTCTTCATATGGAATTCTTTGTTACGGCTTACTAACAGCCAAAAGACTGTTAAAGACAATTCTTACATCTTGTTCCATATGTATTTGTGGAAAACTTATACATTGTAGGATTCAAAAGTTCTCGGACTGACACAAAAATGTTTTGCAGTAGTGCGACTACAAGAGCGTTTTTGTATTACTATGTTCTCCCCCTTTTCTAAAAGTGGTTTGTCCCAAATCACGTGGTCGAAAGCTCGCGGCAATAGCGTTTTTTGTAGGCAGGTGCATTTAATAATTGACAGTAGAAAGAAATGGCATCAGTTCAGCAGAGTATCAATATCAAATTTTGTGTTCGCTTGGGAAAGAGTGTTACAGAAAGTTTTGAAATGTTGAAGGACGTGTACGGAAGTGAAACATTATCGAGAACGCAAGCTTTTGAGTCGCATCGTTGTTTCAGAGAAGGCAGGGAAATTGCTGAAGACTACGAATGTTGTGGCCGTCCCATGATTTCGTGCACCAATCAAAACGATGTTTGCGGTGGTATGTGGGAACAGGCAGCAAACAATTTGCCAAATAGCAGAATTATTTGGGATATCAGAGACCATGTGTCCATGCATAGGGTGTGTCAACATATCGTTCCCCGCATGTTAAACATAGACCAAAAGGGAATTTGAATGGATGGTGGGAGACTTAATCTCGGTTGTTGACAAAGATCCTTCCCTATTTGGCAGAATTGTTACTGGAGACGAAAAATTTTGTTTTTTTTTTGTACCACCTGACCAAGAGAGCATTGGCAACATGGAAATCACCACAATCTCTACATAAGCAAAAATTCTGCCAAGATCGCTTTAAAAGAAAGGTAATGGCTAGAGGTATTCTTCGATATCCAGGGCATTGTGCATATGGAATTTATCCCTGAAGGATGCACTGTGAACAAAGAGCTCTACGTCAAAATCCTGCGTCATTTGCACGAGTCGATCTGGAAGAAGAGATCGAAAATGTGGGTTGAGCAATCATGGTTGCTGTTGCATGACAACACTCCTGCTCACCAGTCCCTACTGTTTTAAGAAAACGAAAACAACTGTTTTGCATCATCCTCCTTGTTCTTGCTCACTTGATCTTGCATCTTGCGATTTCTTCCTATTTCCTGAACTGGCAAGACACTTGCAAAATCTTCGATTTCAATCTTCAGATGAAATTAAATGTGCATCACTGGCAGAATTAAAGGACATGGCCAAAACTGGATTCCAGACATGCTTCAATAAACTTTACAGGCACTGGCAAAAGTATGCTGTTGCACAAGGGTCTTATTTAGAAGGAGGATGTGTTTCTGCAACGTAATTCATAATATTTTTTACATTATAGACTCGGTCTGGGAACTTTTGAATTCTACCTCATAAATCAGTTTGCAGTATATTAGAACATTATTATATTTTCAAGACATGCATCAACTTTGTGAGCTACAGAGTGCAAACTAATGTCTTATTTACTGATAACAGTTCTTTCATATCTTCATTTCTTTATCTAATTTTAATGTTTCCATTTGTCTACTTATGACCAAATTTTTTTGCAAAAAATATTCTATATTCATGATTTATTTTTTAAAAAAAGTAATATATTCACATAGAAGATGTAATAAAACTTATCTTTTCTTTAAGCACTTCCTAAATCTGGATTATTGCAGTCGTCAATTGTGATGCTGTATGTTCTCTATCTAACATGGTCAGCCTTGAATAATTCAGAAAGTAAGTACATGGATTATAACTAATGTAAAATTAATTTTGCTTATCATAATCCAAATTCTGCATATAATAATCCATCTATTTATTTCTTTGATCACTAAATTTGTCTTCAGGATAATTAGAACAAAAAAAAAAAAAAAAAAGATTTGATACTAACTGTTACTGTTATAGAAAAATGCATCATTATAATGAAACCTTGAGAGTATATGATGTTGCCAAATTTAAGTTAAAAAGAATGGTAAATGATGTCGATGTTATGTTTTAAGCATGCATACTAATCATATTTAATTAGCATGTGAGAGGCAATAATAAGCCAAAAGTTAAAATCTTAGTTCGCATTAAAATTATGGGTTTTATTCTTAAGAATTTCATTACAAATAGCAATCAAATGAAACTTAGCATTACCAATGAAATGAAAGTAGTATTGTCCATGTTAATAATTCTCCTTTGTTTTAAACATACTTCTGCTGTTATGATCCCATATGGCAGATAGCTGTGTTGAAAAATTTTTATGATTGTGAGTTGAGTCTATATCTACTTTTCTGTAGCATTTCTTGATCTAATTAAAAATGGGTTCGTTTCAAACTTCCCAATATGTGAAAGGAAGCGATAAAGGTTAGTAGCTGTAAGTGTCAAGACCTCCTTACGGGATTTGCTCTAAATGGGCTTGCATATTGTTAGTTATATGAAGCTTAGTATCGTCATGCAGAAAGATAACTTTTATAACTTTTTCCTCACAAGGTCTTTTGTTTTGATCTTGAAGAATTTGGAAAGTTTAAGTCCATGGTGATTGAAGAGCATCATTTTCACCTTTCTTACAATGTCCTGTTGCTTGTTGTTCTTGGTGGGTGATGAACTAATGTTTTGACTATATGCTGCCATAGTGTATTTCAGGATCACCATGGTATAGGATCTCATCCCCTATTCTAATGCTGAGACAATAATTTTTTCTGCCATAAGTAACAATTTAACTGCTGTTGACAGAATTAATAGGTGCTGATTATTTAACATTCAGGTTTTGGGAGACCGACTCAGCACAAACCTTACTATAAAACAGCCTATCATACAGCTGTACAGACATTTCTATGGCTAATGCCAATCAGAGCCCCCAGTCTGACTGCCGTACTGATAGGCCCAAGTTTGAATCCCAAAGAAGGCAGGGATGTTTATAAATGTAGTGTCTGTGCAGAATGGAGGCACTTTAAATACGTGGCAAAGTCCTGTTGAGAATTTGATAGTAGGGGGATGGGAGACCCTTGGATCCTTTCCCCTGGGGTGCTCTCCATCAAAATTGCAGGCGAAACTGAGCAAAGTTGTACTTTTCACATATGCTCAGGGCTATTGCCAACGACAAGCACAATCTTGCACTCCTTGCCATGATGAATTTCATGGACTTGTTATGATGTTACTGTCAGACAAGTGAGGTACGTCACATAGAACTCCCAGTTACTCAGTTGTGGTATTTGTGTGAGCCTTCCCTAGTTCATCATTTGGATATTGGCTTTTGATTGAATTTTCTTGATCATGAATCATACCGTAAAGAATGGTCTACTTGGAAATTTTTAAATCGGATCCCTGATGACAAAAACACATAAACGATGATGACAAAATAGGTTTGAATTCTGCTGAATATCTTTTTCTTTAGAAAATTTGTTTAGATTGCGGGCATAGAATGGAAAAGTACCATCGCTTCATTATCACTTTAAAAATGGAAGAAAATCTGACTTCAAGTTTATAATGCAATAAAAACACTAATATTAATATTAAAGTGCATAAGTCTGTTTTATATTCTTTTACAGTATTTTACCTTTTAATACTATTGTTTTCATGGAGTTCACCTATCTATCAATAATACAATACAATTTTTGCCCATGAGCCAAAAGAAAAATTTTTAAACATAATGTTCATTTTCTTGGTGTGTTATCCTCACTTTTTTCATCAAATACTTGCAGAAAATATTGATGTCAGTATAGCGTGAGATATTTCTTTGTATGTTTCCCAATCATTGTTTTCAGTTTTTTTTTAGTTCATTATATGTATATCATGTGCTTCATCAGTAGATATTGTTTTCTTCCTGATCGTCAGTCATATTGTATATCTCATGTTATTCATGAAAGTGGGTAGTACAAAGGAAGACATTGCTATGACCCACTGCTTATTACTACAAGCTTCATATAATGAACTGGACTGCGCAACAGGATTTTCAAATAAACTTTCAATTTTGAGATATGCTTTTGATTTCCTACATTTACAATACTCCAAACACGTTTAGATTTCATTTCAAGCACATGTTGCATCAAAATGTCTTACTCTAAAGATCTTAAGTGTTTGTCTCTAACGTTTAGGCTAAAAAATATACAAATGTATACAATATATCCCGCCAAAGGCTATCAGGAATTATTATGAAATTTTTGTGATGTTTGCAAAGTATATCTGTCAAAATTGGTTGAAGATTGTTGTGAGGCCTTCAAATCTGAAACCAGCTGGTCCAACATCCATATTTATACCAAAAGATACGATGTTACTTCAAAAAACTAATAGGTGAAAAAATTAAAATATAGAGAAAGATATTATTCATTGTGGACAAACATAAAAATTCATTCTTCAATCAATCTGTAACATTTAAGATAGGAAATTATAATAGACATCCTTTTCTTTTTAAGTCCATATTTAAATATTTTGGGATCATTAATTGATAGTTTTTCTCTTCGCTTTGAAAAAAGTGGATTTTCAGAATAATTTAAAAAACATTGGTATTTGACCTACAGCAAATCATACTCAATATTTTTTATTAAATCTTCCATGATTTATTGCAAAATGTACATCATTGGTATAAACTTGATTAACGTATTGTTGCGTTCTACGGGTTCATGGATTTGGAGTTTTTGATGGCAACACTTGATGAAGAATCAATACACAATTTTTTCATCAGTATTTCACAGGACAGTCCAAAGACACGTTACAGTCATCGTAAAGCTACAATAAACACAGTGAAACTATCAGCAGCGAAGCCTTCAGGCTATAATGGTGAACACAGCTTCACAGCAAAACACTAAGTACAGCTCCTGACTTAGTCGATTGATCTTGGAGCTCAACACTTTCAAGATAGTCTTCACAATAAAACTCGCAATACACTTGACAGTACACTGTTACTCCGCACTCAGGCAAGGTTTATATAGCTTTCAGCTTGCCTTTGAGAACATTCTGGGACAAACCAGTAAGAATTTGTTCTAGAAAGTATCGCTTTGTCTGTGGCATATCGCCAATTTTGTCGCCAAATTAATGATTTTGCACCAAATCTGGCAACCCTAAACGAAGCATGAAAGCTATTTTACCGCAACTGAGCATTTTGTAACGATATCTATCTGAAACACATCTTCTGTAAAATATTTTTGGTAGGAATGTTAATGTTACATATCCTTTGCATGGCTAATCACTCCAACTATTCCACAATCCAGTTACACTTAGCTCATGAAATTTCATTTTTATTTTCGTAATCGAAGTGGTCTTCACAAAGTGGATATTAAGAGTGCAAGGTAAACTTCATTCCAATTACATTGCTAATCTACTGTGTGTATTATTTTTTAAATGATCCTGCACTCATGTGCTTTACAATGTAACTGGTGATGCATTTAAAATCTTACTGAACAATACAACAAATATGTATACTTTTTAATTTGCATCGTAAAAAAAAGGTAATGTAGGTCAAATTCCAAGTTTTCTCAAACTTATATCTGAATCATGGTAAATTTTGGAATATCACAGACTGCAGTCCTTCAAATAAGAATAAGAAGAAAAAGAAGGGGGAGGAATGAAAATTAACTTTTGCTTAATATTTAAAGCAAAGTTTGAAATCCACATCTAATGTAATTTGGAAAAAACATCTGTATGTACTAAAAAGATGTTTAAAGCACATCTAATGTAATTTGGAAAAAACATCTGTAATTACTAAAAAGATGTTTGCTAAATTTAGTAAATGAAATACATAATTAAACCTTTGAATTTGAGGTTCATTTTCTTAGCATAGTTTGGAATACATATTTAAATAACAGCCTAAATTTCATTTGCGGTTTTGCAGTTGAGGATGGTGGTTCGGTAAAACCATCGAAACTATTCCTGTGGAAATTTTGTAAATATAATGCTGATTTTTGTTGTTTGTCTTCTGAATTAGTCTAAATTTCAATTAACACCTCAGAATTCAGCGAGCATGGCTGAATAGTTCAACTGCAATCAAGTCCATGTCGCTGCATTTGCATACTGTGACACTAGTTACCTTGTCAATAGTTACTGAGATGGCTGGAGAGTAGGTTTTGAAAAATGGCACCTACTGCTTTCTGTGTATTTCGTTGAATGTCGTGTTGAAACAGTGTAGTACTCAGAACCAACATGAGGTGATTTTAGTAATTCAGATACCATTAAATTGCAGTAGTCGTGTTGTGGTTACATTGAATTCCTCTACTGAGTATTAATTAAACTAATATTTGCAAAGTTTTAAGTTAAAATGTTTGATAAATTATTAGGTTAGATTTCAAAAGATTTGAATAATTAAAAAACAAGAATTCGTTAATACTTCAGTTTTTGAAAATTCATATCTTTCTGAAGATAAGTGGGTCTGAAAATAAGGTCTCATCTTTTAAAAAAAGGTAATTATTAATCCAGTACACATCTAAAAAGCTAAATCAGTTATTTAGCGCTAGGTTTGATATCAAAATTTTGATCTTTGACTCAAATTCAAACCTAAATTATTATTTTCTTTGCAAAATCTTGAAAACATTGTCAGTATAATTTTAAACAGTTTTGCTTTTTTGAATGATTTATATAGCAGCAAGTTTCTCTTAGAATGTCCATCATGAATGCATCCCTCCCTTAATTACTCATGGACTTTGTCCGATTCAAACAAACAATTCTTTCTGGAAGAGCAGTTTTTTCATATGGTGTGAAGTCCCATTTCACTCATTTTATTCTTTACTAAGAAGTACTATGAATTAAAGAAAAATATCTGGATCTATTTTTTAAATTAGTGCTTCATTCTTCAGTCAGATGAAAACTTTTTATGATACTGCATTTGCAAAAATAATTACCATTTCTTCTTTTGATTTCAAATTACTTCTGCTAAACCAATCAACAATTATAAACAGGATAAGAGCAGAAGAAAACAAGAAAAAAATTGTTTTATGTCTGGAAAGATGAAGTTCATTTGAATTTTGAAATAGTTGCAAATCTGTGTAATGTACAAAGTTCCCTGTATATAGAGGAAGAGAAATAATTTTTGTTATTTATATTTATATGAAACGATATTGATTACCTAAAAATCAGAAAATTTTCCTTAGTTTACCCTAAACATTACTTTTCAGGAAAGTCTATTTTATTACTTTTAAAATTCTAATAGATTTTCCTGAAACTTTTAAAATTAAAATTCTAATACAGTCAAAAGTCGTTAATCCGGACTCGTCGGGACTTCGGCGATTCCGGATTATCGATTTTTCCGGATTATAGATCATCAGTTTAAATCTGGTAAGATGGCATGCAGAAATTACAAAATTAAAAATATGAAACCGTAATTTATGAAATAAAGAACAATTATGATCTAAAGGGTATCAAAATTTACAAAAAGAAAAAGCTTAATATTTATTTGTTTACTTTATTAAACATTTCCTTCAATGTAAGTTGCTTCGTTTCATGTGATAATACTTTCTCTTTAATTCTATTAAACAGACATAATTTCTTGTTTAGTTACAAAGTTCCGCTGTTCAAGTCCTATAATTGCTGTGTTGAGAATACCGACTAATTTGTCAATCGAAATGTTTTCGTTTTCAATAACCTCTGGGTCACTTTCTTCACTATCGGAAGCGAATTATAACGACGAGGAACTTGATTTAAATCATATCAAATACTTTCGCTTTGTAGTAAATATATATCGCAAATTCTATTTGACATAATCGAAAGTTCAAGCTTACTTTTATAAAATTGCTCTAACAGTCTGCAAAAAATAATAAGCCGGATCCAATTCGAAGATTAAGGAACAACGCAATCTGCAACATTAACTGAATTAGATAACTTTAGCTTAGTGTATAACTCCGTTACACATTAAACACGCATGCGCACAAACATATTCGCAGCTGTAAGGGTCTTATACACTCTCGTAAACGCCTGTGCGTATGCGTGAATGCGACGCATGCGCAGAAAGTTTGTAGCTTTGAGGTCTGGATTATAGATCATTCCGGATTATGGGTGTCCGAATTAACGACTTTTGACTGTACTTTTATTATTTTTTACCAACTCTGTAAATAGGCAACTGCAGCTCTTAGGAAATTTAGTTGTGGTTCTCAAAACTTATTTTTATTTTTACTGAACCGTAACATGTGGCTCTTACTGTCATGAATCTTGGCTACCTTTATTATGTGTAGTGAAAGTCCGATAATCAGCAACCACTGGTTACTCCCTTTCATCATCATTCCTCGCTAAAGATTGTGGTTGTAACATCTCATTTGGAAATGTTTGAAAAGGTTTGCCAGTTGCCAATTTGCCATTTTCAGTTAGTCTTTTTTTTTTCCCCCTAAAAAAACTTCATTTTTGTATATTTTTTCTATGCTGTATTTTTTAAAATATTTCAAAAATTGATTCATTTTAAAAAGTATTTCTAAAAGCTTGACAAAATTTTGACAAGACAATGAAACAAAAATGTGAAAATTCATTGAAAATTGGATAATATTATTCCATCATATGGATTAGGAACTCAAGGACAAAGAAGAAGGGAAAGTCAACCAAGATATCATTTAGTGTAAAGCTGGGTAAAGTGTTAAATTTGTTGAAAAATTTTTAAAAAATACTAATTTCGGAAAATAAGAAATATTAATATTCTATAAAATGATTTAAAAAAATGGAAACTCTGAAGTAAATGGACATTTAACGTTATTTGGAAGGACTTTTGCATTGACATTATTGATTATATGAAAGCAAAAACTGATTAAGTAGAATTAAACTATGAATAAATGTATTTACTAATAAGTTTTGTTTATTAAATATGTTTGCAAAATCATTGCACTAAATAATGTGAAGAAAATTATTTTGTGGTGTTATATAATTTAGTTTAGTAATCTATGATTGCTGATCTGAACGTCCCATATTATCTGTCTTTTACTTTTTCTGAATTTTCTTTGTTAGAATGAAGGTATCAAATCTTTAATTACATGCCATTTTCTAGTTATTTATTAATTCTTTTAAATTTTGTACCTTTAAATTCATGAAATGCTGATATTATTTATCTTTTCTTGGAACTAGAATGTAAACCTGACTTTCTTGGGAAGTCCCAATCCATAGATGCTCAAAGTATTGTAACTTTGGTCATCTGGTTTGCTTGTGTTTTATACTCCAGGTATACTTTTATAAATATTTAATAGCATAACAGACTCAGTGAATATAATTAATTAATAGATTTAATAAATTTAAGATTCTCTTTATATTCAAGATAAGAATTTTTAGGATTTTCAGAAATTATATATTAGTTCATAGCAATTGTATAAATTAAGCTGCTTGAGTATTATTTTATAAATTATACTGCTTATAGCTTCCTTGGTATAAAGTGTAAGATTTTTTTTCTTTGTTCATTCTTGTAATTTGGATGAATAATTTTTTTTAAATAAATTTTGTTGGAATTTGGTGGTTAAGTTTCATTAACATAACTGGTATATAATTATAACTGTATCATAATTCTGCATTAAAATATATATTTTATTTGATATTGCAGATATATGAAATTATAGATTTTTTAACCATGTGGGTCAATATATAGGTGTCATTTTGTCCAAATGTTGAGGCCTTTGATTATTTTATGGAGACATTATATTTAATCCAGATGTAATTAATAAATTACATTATAAGCATGGTAAAAGGAATATATCATTCTTTTTTTCAAGCCATGCATCTTTTCGTTATTGAGCATTGTTTGGCTTATTTTTTCCAATATCATTTTTAAACGCTAATGTGCTATGTAAGAGAAATTGTAAAATTTGAGGAGAAAAGTAACTTGAAGCAAAACTTCTCATTAAAGCAGCAGCAGCATGATTTATAATTTATTTTTATTAAATATAAGAGTAATCATAATTTATGCTATATAAAAATGCAGAATATTTTGACAGAGAATATTGGGCATGAATTGTGCATTTGCTATCAGAAAGTTTTTATCAGACTCTAAGTGAAGACTCTTTAAAACCTGCTAAATTTAAAAATTGCTAAATTTTAAGTAAGCTATCTTTAATATTCCTTTGAAGTATTATCTTCATAGTTACTAAGAAACAGTGATGATTTGTTAATGAATAAAATGCTTAAAATCAAATTTTTGAGTGCAGTTACCAAAAGCACGGTAAAAACTGCAGTTCTGTGTCATACTACATTATTAGAGTTGTTTATGTATGGAAGAATTGTCTTAGGATAATAGAAAAATACACTTTTGTTATAGGAATTCAGAATGTATGAATTTTTATCTTAGAAAAGTGGTTAGAATCATATTAAAAAGGGCATGAATGTGTACTGAGGAAGAAGATAGCTGTTTTTAAATGCATATCATAACCATCTGTTTTTTTAGAATTATCTCCAGAATAATTTTTACATTATGAATTGTCATAAATATGTGATTTAGGCTCTATTAAAAATCTACCATACATGTCAGGTTATGTAATTTTTTATTACACTGTGTTGTATCTACTTTTACAAGCTTTCATTTTACTATTCTGTTATATTTCAACCATCCTTTTGTTTTACCAGTTCCAGTTTACTGTTAATCTGTTTGCTTACATTTATTTTTAATCTATGCTTAAATGATCTAAAGAGGTGTAATTAACTTCAGTTTTTAAATGTAGTGCATGTTGAATAGAGGAACTGTACTCATATTTTTGTAATTATACTTTTTCCCCACCCTCCCTAGCATACGGACTGCAAGCAATACTCAAGTGAGTAAGTTAACCATGTCTGAAAAAATTCTGGTACAAGATAGTGACTCAGGTAATAATTTTTATTTCTTTGCAATATATTTTAATTAGTTTACTTTTTTTCATTTGTGTGGAAGATACAATAAAAAGGCAGAAAAAGGCTATACAGCCAATTTTATTACAGTATTATTTAATAGTTGATTTGTTGGTCATTTTCATATAAAGCAGCTAGCATATAGTATTATAACTATTTATCATTCATTAAGGGATTAAGAGATGTGTAATACATTAAGGAATTTAAATCATTTTGTGTAACTAAACTATGCACCTCTCTAATAATTGAATTTTAATAATTGAATGTAATGAAATACATCTTTTCTCTAATAATTGAATGTAGTGAAAAATCAGTCATTTGACTGCTAGTATGAATCATTAAATTAATGCAGTTTGGGGTTGTCAGCTAATATGGAGGATATTTCTGTGAAATTTTCAGTTTGCTGTTTACAAAAATGTTGTGACTGGCTGATTTACTACAGTCTCTCTGTCACATGAACACTCTTCACAGAAGATATCTGCCATAGAAAGAAGCCCTAATGCATTTTTTTGTAGCGGTGTCAGGAAGAATTGCTTTTCAGTTTGCCATATTGGCATACTTAATGACGTATAGGCAGTATCCTTTTTTTTTTTAAACTTCAGATAAAGCATTTGTGGTAATATTGTTATTGCATCAAATTTCCAAAATTGAATTTTTTTATTCTCTAAAAGCAATTTCTTTATTCTCTGAATGATGTTCAGTTATTTTTCTCTGTTTTATTAGCGCAAAGAGGCAATTTGCCCGTAAGTGCTATTAATTTTGTTTGGGCATTTTGCATCAGTTTTCAAATTGTTGCCACCAAATGTTAAAGCCTATGATATTATTTTAAAAAATTAAATAATTACTGTATTTAAAGAAATTAAGTAATGAAGAAGCTGCATGAATATTTCTATTTTTGTCTCATTTTGAAAAAACAAAAGTACCTAGAGACATCAAATTTTGAATAACGTAGTTCTCCACTCAAATATGGGCTTCTGAAAGCCCAAATTCGGAATTTGCTTTATTATCTGTTTCATAATTTGTAAAACTGTAACGAATTTTTGATTGACAAACTTGACGATTTTAAAGTGTCTCATTAACATTAACATCATGTGCATCTTCAAGCATGGATATTTTATGCACAAGGTTTTTTTTTTTTTTTTTTTTTTTTTTTTTTTTTTTTTGTGTGTGTGTGTGATTTTGCTGTTGAATTGAATTTTATGGTTTAAGTGTAAAGAACATGATATTTAATAAACAAAAGTAACACACAAAACATCAAAAAAAAAAAAAAGCACTCTTTTGAACGTAATGTAAAATCTGAAAGCTTTCAGATTTTTTTTAAATCTTTATATTTTTATTGATTGTATTTCAATAATAATAAAAACTTCATTAATATTTTATGGAGTCTTTGTCCTGCTCATGGAAGTTGAGTTAAAGTCAACACTGCTTTTAACCTAATTACCAGGTTTGATTTTAACTGTAAGCTCATACAGCTAATCCATTTTCCAAGATTTAAACTTGGGTTGAAGTACCAGTTTCAGTGATTCTATCCATTCAGCTACTGACGGTCATTGTGTGAAGTGTGCTATATGAAATAACTCCACATTTTAAAACTATAACACATTAATCACCTGTACACTGTAATACATAGTACCATCATTACACAGCATTTCTCAATACACACCAGTGCTTACTAAACCAAAACTTTTACTCTCTGAGTTTAGGGTTGCTGCAGTGTCCTCTATGAGAGATCTCAATACATTAATATTTGTTAGCATAAAGTGAAATTATTTACCATGGCACAGATTTGATGGCCAATTTGGTTTAGTAGTCTTATTCACTCTTGTAAAAATAGATTAACATTTATTCATAATGGTGTAATGTTTATAAAGTTATTGTTTGGGTCTCATCCCAAATAACACACAATATAATAAATTTTCTGGTTCGATTCTTTATTAATTATCATAATTAATTACACTCATTCAGTATTAACTCATAGCTGTGACCAGCCCTACCGTCAATGGCAATTCTGAAACTCGTCTGATCATAACATTACAGATGCACATGCTCGCATTACATTACAGGTGCGCAGGCGCGAACATGCCGCCCCGCATTGCAATGCGTAGCATTCAACTATTGTAATTAAGATATAGTATAAAGAAATTTAAACAAGAATATTATAAACAATTTTTAATAAGTGCTATTACATAAAATCATTATTATAATTAGACATTTACCATATATACATCAGCGTATAACTCAAAACAATGCAATATAACATTTCAGTTACATAATGACATTTTATGTGAAACACATTCAATACTATACAATAACTATAAAGACAATACTAATTTTTGTATTGGTAAGACACATAATTTGATAATTGGTCGTTTGAAAGTTCCTGTTTGAGTTTTTACATTGCACACACGAACCTTTCCATCTTTACCATAAAATACTTCTATTATATGACCAACTGCCCAATTACAACAAGGCAAATTATTTTTAACTAAGACCATATCTCCAACTTGTATATTGTTTTTAGAACTTTCTGCTTTTAGCATTTTCTATTTGTACTAATCTTGCGATCTGTTGCCACAATTTTAACCTGTTAATATTAACTTCCGTGATATCGGGCTCAGAAATCGAATTTATTGCTCTACCAATTAAAAAATGCCCAGGTGTTAAAACCTCTAAATCATCAATGTCCGAAGACAAGGGTGTCATTGGTTGGGAATTTAAAATTCCTTCAATCTGAATCATAACTGTTAAAAATTGTTCAAAGGTCAATTTTGCATTACCTACGACACATTTAAAGTGGCTCTTAAAAGATTTAACTCCAGCCTCCCAGAGGCCACCAAAATTGGGTGCTCTGGGAGGGAGAAATTTCCATTCGATATTCTCAGAGTTCAAATAACCGGCTAAAAGCTCATCTCATTCATTCACTAGTTTATTTAACCTCTTTAATTCTGCATTTGCACCTACAAAATTAGTAGTGTTATCACTAAATAGTGTAAAACTTTTACCTCTTCGTGCAAAGAAACGTTTAAAGGTAGCTATTAATACTTCAGATGTTAGGTCTGTTATCAATTCTAAATGGATGGCCTTAGTAACCATACAAAGGAATATACACACATAAACTTTTCTGATATATACCTTTTCTCTGGTTTTTGTACTTAATTAAGAATGGGCCACAGAGGTCAACTCCAGTACAGTTAAATGTAAGATTAGCTGTAATTCTTTCCTTGATTAAATCACCCATGATTTGCTGAGCTACAATGGGATTAGCTTTAAAACATGTTATACAATTTTTTACAATTTTTCTACAAACATTTCTACCACTTACAATCAAAAATTTGTGTCTTATATGATATAACAAAGATTGAGGACCCACATGCAAATATTTTAAATGATAGTAATTAACTATTAACTCTGTTAATTTATGTTTAGATGACAGAATAATAGGAAATTTTTTCTCATAGGTTAAATTGCTATTTCTTAATTTACCTCCAACTCTCAACAGTCCATTACTGTCAGTGAAAGGGCTAAAGACTTTTAATAGAACTATTTCTTAGAACAATACTTAATTTTTTAAGACCATTTATCTCATTTATGAAATACTTACCCTGCACTAATTTTAATAAGGCTTCTTCAGCTATTCTCAGTTCTCCCACTTGTAAATTTCCTACCTTCTTTTTTCTTGCTTACAATTCTTATAAAACCTAAAACAAAAAAAATATAATATGATTTAATTTTAAATATTTATTACTGCAATTCAATAAATCATTAACAAAATTATTCACATTTAGATTTAAACAAGTAGATAGTTCAGAATCAGCAAGGTTTTTAAGTTCATTACTGTCTTTTACAGTAATTGCTTCAGGTATAACTCTTATAGGGTACTCATCCTTCATTAAGAAGTCAGGCCCATTTCACCACAGTTGACTTAGTTGCAGTCTTTTGGCAGCCATACCTCTGATGATATGAGTCAGTAGATATGAGATCTGATGGAATTTCTTCAGAAACGATATGACGCCACTGTGCTGTTTCATTCAGATCTTGTATCTTTGAAATCCGGTTTGCAACAAATGCCGTGAGCAGATGTGGCTCTTTCTTGATCCATGACAGCACAATCATAGAATCGGTCCAAATGTGAATAGCAATAAGCTGCAATTTTAACGGTGATTTCACTCGATGCATTGGTTTAGCTAATAGCACTGCTGCACAAAGCTCAAGTCTTGGGATTGTATTCTTTAATGAGGAGATTTACTGCACACCAACCTCACTGATGTATGGTTTGTTGCTGATGTTCTTTTGCAGTAGATAACTGCTCCATAGGCGGCCTCTGATGCATCAGAGAAACCATGTAGCTCAATATTGATTGTATCTGGTAATAAAATACCAGGTTGTTCAGTAAGTTCTCAGAACGGAAATGAAGAAACCAATTTTTATTTGTAAAAATGACTTTATTTTTCAACGTAGATTCACTCAACTTCAATACACTTATTCCAACGGTCTTCTAATTTATTGATCCCTTGACTGTAGTGGTTTTTCGGCAGCTCTGAAAAATATCCCTCCATGGCAGCTATTACCTCTTCGTTTGAAGAAAATCGTTTTCTACAGAGATATTGTTTGAGGTGTGGGAAGAGGCAGAAGTCGAAGGTAGCTAAATCTGGCGAATAGGCTGGATGTTGCAACAATTCGTACTTCAATTCAGTTATTTTAGCAATGGTTTTTTGAACTGTGTGCACAGGTGCATTATCTTGGTGGAAAATGAGTTTCTTCTTCTGTAATCCGGGTCTTCTTTCACAAATTTTATCGTCTAATTGATTTAAAAGGTTACAATAATAATCTGAATTAATTGTTTTGCCAGTTTGAAAGTAATCTATAAACAAAATTCCTTTCGCATCCCAAAAAACAGATGCTAACACCTTTTTGACTGATTTTTGCACACGAACTCGCTTCGGCGCCGAAGAGCCAGGTTCACACCTTCTGTTTTGATT